TATACTATCTTCGGCCATTTCCAGTGGATGTCGGGTATTTGTATCACTTGGGAAATTGTGATAAGTTGGATCCCAGGTCGGTTTTCTGCTATTTTCTAGGTTAGAAAGGGTTTTCAGATGCCATCCAGCATGTCGAGGAATCTTTGAGAGATCTTCAGATGGATGTATCTTGCGAAGCGGATTCTGCGTGTACTGTGATTGCTTCGAGTCGTTGTCGGAAACTGTTCAGTGATCTGGGTTGCTATAGGTGTAGCAGGTTTGGCTACGTCATCAAGGATTGGCCATAGAAAGCAAGCATGTTACATTTTCGTTGTGTTCAGGTGGCCGGTAAAGAAGTCGATTGTCTGACGACCAGGGAAGAGTAGTGAGTGTACCTGCTCCAGCCATTCTCGGGGTTGGTTCAAGGGATTGAACGAGGGAGTTATGGCTGGTTTTCAGTAGCCTTAGTATTTATGTTTTGGAGGAGCCATCGGGATTTTTGAGGGAAGAGAGAGTGGTTGTTGAGGTTTTTGTTAGACTATCCGTTCGTTGGACTCCGAGATCTGAGTGTGATATCGCTTTTAAGCGATTGAAGTCATTGATGTAGTTTGAATTCAAGAAGTGTTAGCTGGTTTTCAGGAAGTGTGTTGTTTGGACAGGGGTATTTTTGGTGTTCTAGCTTTGGTAAGCACTGGCCGTCAGCAAGGTGGGCATTGGAACGTAATGAAGATTGGAAATCCTTTAATTTTCATGTGACGAACGGGCTTAGTTGAATCTAAGTGGGGGAGAACCATCCAGGTATCTAGGGCAGAAGCAAGGGTAAGAGTGTTGTAAGACGACGGGGGTGCCATAGCATTCACTAATGGCAGTTAGGGCATAATGTTGTAAGACTGTGGGGAAGCCATAGCATTCATTAGCAGTAGAGAGTATTGTAAGACTGTGGGGGGTTTCGTAGCATTCACGGATTCTTTTAGGTGATTTGGACTAGGGAAGGCTAGTTCGCAGGGTTGTGGGGGAGCCACAACTTAGTTGGGATCAGGACCAGAGGTGATTGACCAATCGATTATCCGGGGGCGAGCCCGGATGGTTATGGGAATTTAGGATGGAACTGGTAGAGACTATTGAGCTAAAGGTTGGACCTCGTGATACATGATCTTGTGGTCAAGTAGCGCATGTTTCAGTAGGTCTACGACTGGGTAGCCCTGATATTGGATCTCATAAGAACCTAGTGGTTGGGCAGGGTGCGAGATTAGAAGTCTCAGGGAATCGGATAAGGGTATTTATTAACCATTCGAGTAAAGTATGACGGGAAGTCATGGTGCATTATGAAAATGTCGATTCGAGGGTCTCTGAATAGGAGCAGAGTAACAATTCAGATTTGGCGAGGAACCCGAATCAAATTTGTGCAGGATTTTGTTTCAGTGAGATGGGATGTGGGGCATTTATATGCCAAGGGTATCGAGGGCAGGATTCCAGGGTGATGCACGGGTTTGTTCGATGGTAGATTAAGCCATTATGGTGTATCTCGGGTGGCTCTATCCATAATAGAGCCACGGCATGCCAGAATCAAGAAGCGGTAGGTTGAATGAGATTGTGTGTGAGGTAAGTCTACAACTATTCTGGTAGTATTCATATTTTTGCGTCAGATTTAGTGGCGATAGGTTGTTAGCCTATCTCGATCGGATGGATCAAATAGATTGGAGGAGATAGGGAAGTTTTGGTTAGACGAGGTATTCTTCGGAGGTCGTAGGGGACTGCTGAGTGTGTTTTTGGCTTAACAATCGAGTAGGTGTATGGTGTTCCGGACAATTGGCAAACGGGTTAGGACCAAGGAGGTCCCCGATTTTTCTTTAGGAAAGTAGTCATATGGCAACAGAGAGGAGTAGGAGTGACTTCAGTGATTTCGGGTTTGTGTGTGGAATTGCTTGTTACTCGTAGTCGCAGTTGATCGGTGATTTTGTTCTTTAGGAAGCTTCAAGGTATTACAAGTGAGAAGTATTCTATCTAGGCTGGTTTATTGTAAAATCAGTTCGATGATGATTCGATGTCGGCGGTCTGTCAGGGAGACAGACCACCTCAAACTTCAAATTTCGGATGAAGCATATGTGATCAGGTTGCAAGGAATTCGTTCATCTTCGGGTTCTAAAACCCTGCGAGGGTTAGTTTCGGTTGCCTTGGAAAGGCTATGGTATGCTCGGGGTTGTGGCCATGAGGCCTTAGCTATTTAGCATGAGGAATGGTAAGGAATGATTTCGAGGACGGAATCTAGTTTAAGTGGTGGAGAGTTGTAACACCCCATTTTGAAAAGTACTTCGGTTGTAGTTTCGGAGGCCCATGGTATAAGTGATTCAGTCTTTTATGGGTCCCAGGTTTTATTCTAAAGGTTTTAAGTCTTGGTGTGTGGTTAGGAGCGTATGGCTTCTCGCCACCTTTTCGTGGGTATAAAGTTCATCGGAAACGGACTTTCAATGAAGGAATTATAGCACTTTGAAGTTATTGACATTATTGGTCCTTAATGGAGAAAGATGGAAAGAAAGGACCATGCATGCAAGGTGGCCAGTGCAAGACCACACCCATCGTAGAAGGGTTAAGTGATCGCGAGTGCGGAGGGGAGTACGCCCATCATACGAGAAGTATGCCCAACGTACGCTCAGAGTTCCCAAACCCTAATTTTAGGGTTGAGTCCTATATAAAGAACCTTATGTCTCGAAGACCAGCCTCCATTTCCACCCTAAAGGAGCTACTACAAAACCCTAATCCATATTTGAGTGTTCTTGGAGCTTAGAAGGTCACTAGAGAAGCATCTTGGTGTTGTGGATCCATTTTCCAAACAAGAAAGGAGCAAGGAAAGGTGGTGGTTCAAAGGAGAGGTTGCAGATCTAGGATTGTTGCTTCATTTCTAACAATTTCAAGGTATAAAGATCTAAACTTTATGATTAACTCCTTAGATCTCTTTTATTTATTTTTTGGGACCATTTTGGTCCAAAGGTTGAAGCTTTGTGGTTCGATCCAATTTCTAGGACTTGGAGTTGCTACTCTCAGTTCTAAATGAGTCCATAAGGCAGAAAGTTGCCATCTTGGAGGTCTTAATGGGTTCATGCTTGATTTAAGACCATTTCCATGGAAGTAGAGTATCATTTTTGGAGTTTGAACTTATATGGGTCATCCAAAGCTATCAAGTAAGTAACTTTATGGTTTAAGACGTTGAAGAGGGCTTGAATCTGTAATTGTAGCTTCTGGAGTAGAGTATTAAGCACTTAATGGAAAAGTGGCTTAACATAGGAGTACGTTGGGCGTACATGCAGGTACGCGCAACATACACCACCTTCAGCCAGTACGCTTAGCATACATGACAGTACGCCCCGCGTACTCATTAGCTATGGGCTTGGAGTGTTTTGGGCCTTAGGTTGGGCCAGGCAGTAGACTTTGGGCCTTAGTGGACCATCAGAAGTCAAATGTTTTGGACCACTAGTAGGATTGGAAAGCCTACCTAGTGTTAGGCTTTTGGTTTGGGATTGGGCCTAAGTTTGGATCATACTAGGCTAGGGGTAGAATGGTCATTTTACCCCATGCATGGATTAACGATTATGGTATGGGGACCCAATTGCTAATTGGGTATATTGTTTGGTAGTGACAACTCGGGATGCTGGCGGGGCAGCAACTAAGGAATTCATGTTGGACGCTTTTGCATTTGAGGTGAGTCTTCTCACCATACCAATGGGTCTAAGGCACCAAGGCCGGCCCATTTTATGTTATGCAGTACACTAGTTGTAGTAGAGAAATGTGGTATGATAGTTAGCATTATGCTAAGTGGTAGTCTAGTGATTATATGATATGTGTTATGCTAGTTGTCTTTGTGATACTTATATAGAAGACCCTGGGGGGGAGCCCGTGGCATTGGATGTAAGACCATGTGGGATAGCCCATGACATTGGATGTAAGACCATGTAGGGTAGCCCATGATATTCCTAGGTAAAGACCATGTGGGTAGCCCATGACATTAGATGCAGGACGATGTGGGGTAGCCCACGACATTCCTAGGTAAAGACCATGTGGGGTAGCTCATGGCATCCTTACAGGTAGGGCTATCAAATCGGGCAGTCGTGTCGTGTTTTTGTTTGACACGACACGACACGACAATGTTTTGTATAACACGAACACGACACGACACAATGTCGTGTTTTTTTTCATTAACACGAAAATGAACCAATTAAAACACGACAACACGACACGACACGATAAAGATAATATTACATAACTATTAGTGTATTTCATTCAAATTTAACGACATATAACACGATAAAAATGACAAACACGGAAAATCCGACAACCACATGCTTAATCGTGTCAATTTCGTGTTGATTTATGAACACGACACGACATCGTGCTTTTTAATCTTGACGTGAACACGACAAGAACATGAATTCGAATTTTGATTTTATCCCCCATTTCGTTTCATTTCGTGTATTTTTGTCCTGTCGTGTCATAAATTGTCACCCCTACTTACAAGTTTATGTATGCATGGCTTATATGGTTTATGTAGCTTTTATAGCTATTATGGATTATATGATTATGTGGATTGTGTGTGGAGTATGCTCTGGGGAACCCACTAAGCTTCGTGCTTAAAGTTTTGTTTATTGTTTCAGGTATCATCAGTTTGGAAAGAAAAGGGCCCAACATGATCACAATGCATGCACCCATGTTCTCCGCAATGAATGTTTTTGGGATGAACTCTGATAAATGTTTTGACTAACGATGTTTTGGAATGTTTGGAATAAATGTTATCTATGTTTTGGCTATATTAAAAATGAAATTTTTACCCTTGATTTTTGGGTCGTTACATAAGTTCTCCTCCAAGGAAAAACAAGCACATATATTTTTCATCTTCTTCCCCTGCTAATGACACTGAAAATCGTGGATCAACCCCTCCTATTAGATATACTAATGAGCCAATAGTCCACGATGAACCTTCTCCCACACCATCTCCTTTTGCTCAAGCTGATATAGTCCATCAAGTTGAAATGGTTCCTCCTACACCATCACCCATTAATGTTGTTTTTCCTCATCAGGGTGACCAAGGAGAAGCCAACTCCAAATTTAAAACGGTTGTGCTTTCCCAATTCTCCTTATTTGTGCAGTTAAATCAGTCAATAAATAAAAGATTGACTAAAGTTGAAATGAATGTGGCCACAATGAAGAAACTTATGGCCTTGGATGGTGAAGAAGATGATGATAATATGGTTGTTGATGACACTCCACCAAACTCTCCAGGTGATAACACTCCTCCACCTCCTCCTCTATCACATCCTCCTCCAAAACCTCCTTCACTTACTCCTATATCCCCTCCCCAATTTGATGCTTCCAAAAGGGGAGAATTATCAAGAGGGTCCTCAACCAATGCAAATGGTTATTGTATCTCAACCTGAGATGACTGAAATGAGTGAAGTTTAAGTTGATCCTATAGAGCTGATTGATGTTGTTGATACTCATGATGATGATGTTGCTTCTGATCAAACCTATTCCAGATGATGTTCCAAACGTTGGTGACTAATCAGAAACTGATGACTATTAAGGGTATTTGGATCTTGGTTTCATGCAATAAGTTGTTTCTGTTGTTCCATTAACCGTTATTTATCCTAGTTCTTGTTTTGAGGGGGAGTTTGCTCAAGAGGTTCCTCAAGAAACAAATAGTAACATTGATTCTGATGATGGTTCCCAGCTTAATCCAAGAAAATGAAAGGCTTCCTTCTCGGGGGGAGGGGGTGTTAACTTTGAAGTTGGAAGTTCCTCTGCAGCTGGTGATACTTCATCCCTTCCTCACAAGAAAATCAAGCTCACTTTTGATCTGCGTGAGTTATCAGAAACATGGAGCTTACATATCGATGAAGTTAAACAGATAATGGAGGAATGCAATGTTGATATTCGACAGAAGAAAGAAGTCAGAAAACAAGAACACTTGTCTGCCAAACTTGTTCAAGAACTTGTTTCCGCTGACAAATATGTTGAAGTTCAAAGAACTGATGATCAGGTTAAGAAGATGTTCAACAACAATGTAGAAAAGACAACACATTGTTTCAAATATTTATGACTGGATTGATAAAAAGAAGTTTGGAGACGTTCTGACTCGAAGAACCAAGCCTGATCTCATTATCAAAGTAAGATGCACCATGCCAATGACCTTGTCACTAAATAAGAAAAGAAATTGAGTATGAATACACTGAAGTTGTGTTTGCTCGTGAGCTAGTCAAATTCGGCTACAACAAGTGGATGCAGATTCTTGAAATGATCGACAAGCATAAAAGTGTTCATGCCCAAGAAGTGAAGTTGGCAATTCAGCAACTTCTCAATAAAGTGAAGAAACTAAACATAGTACCATTCGTTGGTCCATCAACGAGTTCATCTAGATCAACCCCATCAAGAAGAACATGCACTCCCCGATAGTCCAAGAATACTAAGTTCATTCTTCCTTATGGTACTAGATACATCAATAATGCATTATCAGCTGGTGTTGAACCTATTTGGTACATGTTCATTCCAGAGCCAGAGCACGGGATCTTCTATCTCGACAGTCAAAATCAGAGGTGCTTTTCAACACACTGATGACCTTCCTTCTGCTCCCACTGAGCACTTGTTTCATCTTCGCTTGGAAGGGCTAGGTCACTATGAGTTGGAAAGAGGATGTCACGTGCTGATATCACTAGAGCTGCATAGAAGACTAGATGAGCTGAAACTTGTTCAATTCAAATCAGTAAAGCCTGAAATTTTAAATTTTTTTGACAAGTTATACAATGGCTCTTCGGATGAATCTGAAGACGAAGAAGATTAGTTTTGACATCATCAGATATGGGGGGGGGGGGGGGAGGATTGTAAGGTCACACCTTATGATCTGATGAGTCAAACACATAACATGTTGATCTATCAGTGTCAGCGTCTACGAGTTGACAGCTCCAACGTCAACTTAACAAGTTCAACAACATCAACTTACAGTTGTTCTATTGTAATCTTTTATATATTAGGAAGTTATTATAGATATATATAAAATATATCAGATCCCGTATCTTTATGATAAGATTAGTTCTTAGTATAAATTAGATATAATCTCGTCAATTAAGGGATTTACATGTATATATATATATATATATATATATATATATATATATATATATATATATATATATATATATATATATATATACTACATTAGGGCAAACCATGATGTAGGGAGGTCGTGTTTGAGTTTGTGGCTTTGTGTCAATTGTCTTTGTGGCCAAACATCGTCTTCTTTGTGAAGACAAAACCACTTTTCTTGGTGAAAGGAACATTTGGAGAACTTCTGTGTTATTTACTTTCTATTAATTATTTCCTTTAGAACACAAACAAGAGAAAGGAAAATAAGGAAGGAAAATAATGTTGCTTAGTGTTTCTCTCTGATCGTCAACTTGGGATGCTAGGTTATCAGGCAGGGAGGGTTCCACTATGGTGCCCATAGTGGCATAGACAACCCCTTATTTTTTTGGATAGTGTAAAAAAATTCGAATTTTTCGTTTTTCTACATTTGTGCCACTACGTAAAATGAAAAATGTACCACCGGCAACACTTACTATGAAATCTTGGATCTGTCCCTGTTATCAGGCAATGTCATTATATGAGAGTGGATCATCATGGTTACTAGATGATAACTTTCAAATCGGGGGAGACCAAACAAAATAACAAAAAATAAAGATAAAAATGGTTTTAATTGGTATAATAACAAGTTTATGTTTAAACACAAAAAAAATATATGAAAGTTACTCTTTTTTGAAATTAACCCTTGGAATAAATAATAACACATTTTTGTATCGATTTGATGGAATTTTTGTTCGGAGGCACCACAATGGAGGCAAAATTGGGGAAGCGAAATTATTTGAAGTTGTTTACTATTTTATAGAGATATAGATATAACTAATTGTGGATTCCATATTTCGGTGATATTTTGTTTCGTGATAAATTACAAAGAACTTTGTTATTTACGCCTATTATAACATTATAAATAATTAGTTTGAAATCGGCCGATATTTACGGTAGTATGTTTAACGAAAAAAGGCGTACGGTTTATTAAATTAATGTGAATTCTAACGTCCATAGAACTCCATATTTCAATAGTATTATGTACGAACAATGCATTTTATAATGATATAAAGAAAAAAAAAAACTTTATAAGGATATAAAGAAAAAACGGATTTTAAAATTGAAATATATCATATGTTGATATACTAGGTGTGAAACCCATGTATTACATGAGTTTAATTAAAAAAAAATGAAATTTTAATAATTTGAATAGTTTGAATTTATAATAAAAATAAGAAAAATTTTAAATTATTAAAATTAATGAGATTTTAATGTATTAATTACATTACATATATAAACCATTTCTAATAAATACTTTACATATATATTACCTTACATATTAAATATTGAATTTTAATTTAATAAAATGACAAATGGAAAATAAAAAATTTAAAAATTCTAGAAAATACCATGTATCCAAATGAATGAGAGGAGGACATGTGACAAAAAAACCTTCATTTATTATAGTAGATTTGATATTCGAGATAAATATATATGACTATGTAGATACAAATGAGATAAAAATGAGAGCCAATTAATAATACATTCCAATTTATACCAAACATTAGATGATAAAGTTCATTATAAAATAAGATTAAACAACTTAAATTAAGTGGAGTCTCCTTATAAATACATGATATCAAACTATCAACATGCATGAGGTATAAACTTTTTGAATGATAAAGAAACATCTTTGGGATATAATAATAATGGCTTATGTTAAAACATTTTTTTAGCATGATACTATTGCATGTTACGCAAAAGATTCATGACAATTGTTATTGCTTAAAACGTTTTCAACCTAACATTGCATATTCACAAGAAAATGCATACTTGGCGAAAATTACAAAGTTTTTATACAAATCATTCGGATTAGTGAGTTCCAAAACTCACAATTCATAGAGATTATTATATTGTCAAATCACATACAAACTCAAAGTATCCTAATAACAACCCCATAATAATAATAATAATAATAATAAAAAAAAACCAAAAATCTCTCCTATAAAAACTTCAAAGACCCACAAACATTCCTACAAAATCTTAGCTCCATAATCAAATTGTCATCAAAACAACTCAAAAACCTGCAACAACAAACAAGATCTAAACTTTTTGCTCTTTCCAGGACTATTCTTTCTACAATGACAATGATAAGGGCATTTTCGTCTTTTTGGGTAAGAAAAGAGAGCAAATAGCCAATTGAATTGGATAAAAATGAAAGGAAGTAAACCGAACCTTGAATCAATGTATCAAAGGAGCATGAAACTGCTTCAAAGCGTCACAATTTGGTGTTCCCTGTTTATTCCCCCAATGAATCCGTCGTTTTTCAATCTGACAATTATGAGAAAGAACTGAAATATACTCGTCCTCGATTCTTTCTTCAATTTCAATTCTTTCTGGAGTTTTCATCGGATAATCCCTTTCAAAACTGTTCGATTTCACAAAAAAATTAACACCTTTTTGCGTAGTCAAACGATAATCATAGCCATATTGCCTGGCAAGACTATAAACCGGCTCATTAGATGGCAAAAAGTTCAACAAAAGAAGCAAAACCACCGGCAACAACTGAATCAAAGTCCGAATCCCTCCTGAACCGTTTCCCGCCGGCATCCCTGCACCTACGCCGGGACCGAAAGTAAATCCGGTGAACTGGGTGGTGGCGCCGTGGTTCATACCTCCAAAAAAGTTCCTAAAGATCTCGTCGGCGTCCACCTCGCCGTCGTAATAGAATCCGTTGGTGAACCCATGGCGGTGACCACCGGCGGTTGGGGTGCGCCTCTCGTAAATGGTCTCATCTGACCCGAGAATATCGTACTGTTTTCGATTCTCGTCGACGCTTAAACACTGGAAAGCTTTCGATACTTTTTTGAATGCTTCTTCGGATCCCGGGGCTTTGTTCTTGTCAGGGTGGACCTTCAAAGATAATTTTCTGTACGCTTTTCGGATATCGTCAACGCTACACGATTTTTCCAATCCTAATATCTCGTAATAGTCCTTTTTCGTTTTGATTTCGCTCACGATCGTGATTTGTTCGTCTGTGTATGATCCCGGTGATGAAGATCCGGTCGCCGGAGCCCTACGCCGTACACCAGGACTGTCACCCGTGCTATTCTCTGACGGTTTCGACGGAGGTGAACCGGAAGGCGATTCATCGGCCGGGTTGTCGGGTTCTAGATTCGATAATAGATCGTCGACGGGAAGCGAAGGATCTAATCTTCGAGCTTTTGAGATGAATTTTAGGGCACGAGCTCGATCACCCAACCCTAACGCATCTTTTCCGATTTTTAAACATCTCAAAGCATCGTCTTTATTTCCATCCATCTCAAGGGGTTCAAAACTTTATTATGAGCCCTAGAAACAGAGTATATAACCGAATTGAACAATAAATATGTGGTTATCGGAATTTTACCAGGAATCGATAAGGAAACCCCAAATTTTAATAAATAACAGTAATCGGGAACCCTGTGAGATGAGATTATGCTTGATGTATGACAAATTGAATGGGGTTTTTAGCAATTAACTGATCGTGTAGAAGATTTGTGAGAGAAAGGAGAAGAGCTATACAAAGATGGAACAGAAATGGAGAGAAATTTTCATCATCCAGGGAACCCCTGTAGGAGAAAGGGGAGGTGAATATGGCCGATTCGTTGAATATAAGCATGAGGCTATGCAAATTGCAAAATCTATTTACCAGGGAGATATTGTGGTAGTTATGAAATATAGAATCCTGATTTTATTTTAGGCAAATTCTACAAAAGTAATTAGAGTTTTTTATTTTTAATCGTTTTGACATTGGTTATTTTTTCCTTTTTAATTTGAACACTATATTTGATATTTTGATTCAATTTGGACCGTTTAATCAAGGAGCCGGTTAACTACAAGTATCGCCTATTTCACCAAATGGTTTCTAATTCAACGGTATCCAGAGTTGTCATCCTCTTTGAGGTTGATGGTCAGTGACGCAGCCACATATATTCCTTAATATTTTATAGAAATTATATAAAAACTTATACTAAGAGTTATCTACTACTATTGAAAAATATAAATGATTTATCTAATTCTGAATAAGGATCCACCAACTTTTTGTTCTAGATTCACCATTGAATGATGGTTCATGTCTTTTCGTGGACATAGGTGAATTTAATGAGTGTAGTTTAGGATTATGTTATATTTGTTGTTTAAAAAGAAACATCTTCATTTAACATATTGTCATGTCACGTCCTGGTTTAACCTTTTTTTTTTTTTTTTTTTCTAATTTAACCAAACATGTACCAATCAAATCTTTTTATTTATCTCTCAACTAAATAGGATTTTTTTACAACTTTATAAAATCTACCTAGTTTCTAAAGGCAAACACAACAAGAATCTTGAAATCGTTGTATGGAATAACCAACATCATCTAATGATATACACATGAAACAAAGGTACTCGTTTCAAGAGTTTGGTTTTTTTTTTGGTAAAGGGAACTTCCCTAACGAGGATTTATGGGCTAGCTTTCGCGCATCGACTAATTCCCCGCTGCAAACATGAAGTTTTGCCTCATTCCCTGAAGTCACTGCATGTAAACCTCCATGGCTACATGGGTTGAGTGGTGTTAGGATTTAAACATGGGTTAATAGGTTATCCACCGTAACTTCCGCATGTCTTACCAAGTCACCACAACCCAAGTGGTTAAGAGTTTGGTTTTTACAATGTCTTTATTATTGAAATAAAAATCTT